ATGAGGTCTGGCATCCCAAAACTAGATAGGAATCCCCTCAGTTTGTTGAAATTCACCACAGTGCCAGTGCTAGACTATTTTGCACCCTAGGCAAGACCACTTACTTGCACCCTCCAGCCCCCAATCCCCCCCGCATGGCCTTGCGCCCTAGTCGGCTGCCTAGTTTGCCTAGTGGCAGCAACGGCCCTGCTTATACACTAATAAATCCAGCCTACTAAATAAACAGATTTGATTTTAGAGAGTCTTCAATTCCACTGTAATTGCCACCAACAAAGTCAACAAATACATTCATTAGCAGAACACCAGAGATCTGTATAGCCAGGCCTGTTTTATGGTTTTATGGCCAACATCTTAATTGGGAATCATAAAACACTGAGTATCCAGAACACTAATAAGATATCAATTGACATATCCACTAGTAAGTGAATTCCACATAGATGTCTGGACTCAGATGACCTGTAAATAACCCTATTAAAGGAGAACTATGAGATTAGTGATTTCCACTCACCTCATAGTTCTAAGCCGACCTGTGACACTGAGACTGTCACAGGTCGGCTCAGTAGATCGGGAAGTGAGGGAACACATACCGGGTTCCCTCACCTCTCGATCCTGTCACGGCTCTCTGCCGTGACAGGGGGAGGGGCTGGATTCCCCTCTCCCCGCTCCGATCTGCCAGCGCTGACTGGCGGAACGGATGTGGGAGGGGGCGGGTACAGCTGGCTCTGCCTCTAGACAGGCAGAGCCAGCTGTCACTCACGCAGCTGGGCGGATCCCGTCATCTACGTCGGGATCCGCTCCAGGTGCGGCGTCTCAGTATACCGCGAGCTGTAGCTTGCGGTATACTGAGCTTAGGGTAACGGGAGGATGCTAGTTTGTGTCCTCCCGTTACCCTAAGGAGAACTATGGGGAAAAACACTGACCCCATAGTTCTCCTTTAACAAAACTAGTCTCCGATATTCACCCAGAATGGGGGCGCTACATTAATAACAGATATATGTGTAGATATATCATGAAACACTGGTTGCATACATACTATGCATCCCTTTCTTATGAGGTACAGAGGGCCAGAGACGCACATTACCCCTATTGAGGGAACCATACCATCCTTTACCATCAAGAAAAGAACATCCATACTAATGTATTGCTGAGATTTATAGCACTCTGTACAGTGGCAGAACTACTAGAGCAGAGAGCCAATCTCAGATTGATTTTAAAGTAGAATTAAACTATCCTTTGTTTTTGCATATATCTACTGTTATAGCAAGCAGTAGATATATGCAAAAATATTTAAAAAATAAAAATAAACGTACCAAAAAGGTATAAACTTACCTGTGTCTCCACCGCTCGCTCCCTTCTGAAGATCTGAAGCTTCTCCTGCAGGAGGATGTGGATGAGTGCATGCGCGGTAGAGATTATTGGCGGGGAGAAGAGGGTAGACACAGTGGAGGTGAATGCACGCAGCCGTGAACATACACGTCAGAAAGACACTGTGGGACCCGAGGAGTCTGTTATGGATCAGAGACCGGCACCAGCGCTGGATGGATTGCTGAAGCGGAAGGAAGAAGATGATCGGATCAAGAGACATGATTTAAGGTAAGTTCTTAAAGCAGCATGGGGAGGGGGGAATTTGTGACTTTAAGTTACATTGAGTGCAATCTGCTCGAACCCTGACAACCCAAGACTTTACTAAGTCATTTATTTCTTATTTCTTTTTTGTTTTGCTGTTGTATTATTTGTCTCCTTTATGTGATATCTTTTCTGTACATTATTCTGCACCTAAATAAAAAGGTGGTAAAAAATGAATAAGATAAAAAATTATCTAAAAATAAAAAAGTAAGATAATAAGATAAATAAAAAATTTTAAAAGTAAAAAAATAAAAATTCTAAAAATTAAAAAGTGATAAAAAATGTAAATAAAAAAAGATTAAAACGAACCCTGCCGCCCCCACCATCTGGTTGCCATTCTACATTGGAAGGGGGGAGAGCGCAAAAAAGGAACCTGGCCTTGGGGCATCACAGGGAGTAAATCTGGCCCTGTGCGACGGTCTGAAGGGGGTGCCACTGGCTACCGCTCCCTCCCTCCGCCACTCTGCTAGGCTGGCCACACTGAACTGCAGGAAAGCAGTGCCTGCACTGGGGTCAGTCAAGTTAGGCAGCCACCTAAGCACACGCTGGGGCTTCGCAGTTGCTTAGTTTGCAGTTGCGGCGGGAGGAATGCGGAGGTGAGGTGAGCTTTGTTTCTAAAAATCACTGGCCTGATAAGTCTTGGGGGGCAAGAGAGGTGGGAAATTCAGTGGACACAGAGGTGGTGAAAGAGGTTTGCATAGTGGCAGAGAAAGAGCTGAAAGGGGTGTGACGGACCCCGGTACTCAGGATGAGTATGTCCGCCGCTGTCTTCTTCCTTGCTGAGGAGATATTGGAACCCGCTGATCTGTAGCTCCCAGTTTCCCCAGTCACTAGCCAAGGCTTGAGTGTAGGGTAAACAAACTCTGGTTTATTGAACAACTGCACAAACTTTTATACAGCAAGTGATGAAATCAGAATATAATCCCATCACATCCCCCCTCCCTCTCCCAGACCATCGGTCTGCTCAACACCACAGGTGTCCACCTGCTAACGAACTCCAGACAGCCATGGCAGGAGCCTGGCCAGAATGTCATTGTTCTGAGCTCCCTCAGAGAACAATGGGAGATAACGAGGGATGGTGCTGATAGTCTTTACATAACCAGGTCACACAGCATAACGCACTCAAACATAACTCAATACCAATACACATTTAACTTATAAACTGATCACCATGTCGTCACAAGGGGTTTCAGTGGACACAGAGGTGGTGAGAGAGGTGGGCACAGTGGCAGGGGAAGAGCCGTGGGCTCAGTGGACACATAGGCGGTGGGGGGAGAAGAGAGATGTGGGCACAGTGATAAGTATAGAGCTGCCCAAGGCTAGCATCGGTGGCAGTGACGGGAGGATCGCAAGGGGAGAGGTCAGGTGAGCTCTATACCCCACAGCTGGAATGAGAAGTCAAGTGAGCTCTGTACCTTAAACTGGGATGAGAAGTCAGGTGAGCTCTGTACTCTATAGCTGGGATGGGTGGTCAGGTGAGGTCTGTACCCCATAACTGAGATGAGAAGTCAGGTGAGGTCTGTACCCTATAGCTGGCATGGGAGATCAGGTGAGCTCTGTACCCCATAGCTTGGATTGAAGGTCAGGTGAGCTCTGTACCCCATAGCTGGAATTGAAGGTCAGGTCAGTGGCAGATCCAGACGGGAAGGGTGGCAAAAGGGTAGCAGGATGTGCGGACATTTTTGTGAATACCTAAGAGCAGCCCATCAATGAGGAGCGGGCCATGTGCTACCAGTGTACCCAGGAACTGGCCCAGAGCTCCCTGGCACAGTGGACCAGGGTGCGGGACACAGCACCAGTCCTTTATAGATTATGGTGGTCTGCATTGCTGTTTAATGTTTTGCTTAGATTTGTATTCCTCTGTAGATGATGGTGTGCTGCATAGCTGTATAATGTATTGCTGGGATTTGTAGTCCTATATAGATGATGGTATTCTACATTGGTGTATAATTTATTGCTGAGATTTGCAGTCCTCTATTGCTGGTGTTATTATTCTGCATTGCTGTATAATGTATTGCTGGGATTTGTAGTCCTCTATAGCTGGTGGCATTGTTCTGCATTGCTGTATAATGTATTGCTGGGATTTGTAGTCCTCTGTACAGTGGCAGAACTACTAGGGTCACAGCAGTTGCAGCTGTGACGGGGCCCTAGCTTTTAGCCACTTAGGAGGCCCTAGTAACCACCAACATGCAGGTTACCGGATCCCCCTTTTTTCAGTCTGTGGTTCCCAATCATTCAGACTGTATGGATCGTGCGTATCAAGATTGAACTATGGTTTGGTTTGTGGGGGGCACTAATAAAAGACTTGCCCCCAGGTGCCTCATGACCTTGCTACACCTCTGCATACCGCCAATCCCTCGGTTCCCGATCACCTCCCTGCAGAGGCTGATGACTGTCAGTCACTGTTCCCCGCAGGGATTCCCCCCTGGTCTGATGATAAAGCTGATAGTGTTCCACTTCCTCCACATGGTACCCTACTGATTAAAAATCAGAATGATGTCCTAATGATGACAAGCTCTGCAACAAAGATGATGAGATCTGATGACCCAGCTTAGAGTGGCCATCCTCCTCTTGCAGGTACCCCACTGATTAAAAATCAGAGGTATATCTTATTAGTGACCACCTCTGCCATTCAGATTATGAGATCTGATGACCCAGCTTAGAGTGGCCATCCCCCTCTTGCAGATACCCCACTAATTCAGAAACATGCTTTATTGATGACCAACATAGATAATGAGATCTGATGATGACTCAGGTCATCTTCCTCCTGCAGATACCCCAATGATTAAAAAACAGAATTCTTTCTTATTGATGACCTGCTCTGCCATCTAGATGATGAGATCTGATGATGACCCAGGTCATAGTACCCCATGTTCCTCCTGCAGATACCCCAATGATTAAAAACCAGAATGATGTCTTATTGATGACCTGCTCTGCCATGTAAATGATGAGATCTGATGATGATACAGCTCATAGAGGCCATCTTTCTCCAGCAGGTACCCCAATGATTATACATCTTATCGGTGTGCAGCTCTCCTAGACATATGACCTAGCACATTCTGTGGTCCAATCAGCCCCGGGCAGTGTATGGGCCGATCTAGCGGTTCTCCTGCTTATCTGTATGTTCAGGGAGGAGACATGGCTTCCCTCCCCCTCCCTGCAGATTGGATTAGAATGCTGCAATCGTGGAGGATTAAAGTGCCCAGAAAATCAGCGGCTTGTGCCTGGTTGCCATTGAATGGCTGAGATCAGCTTCCTCTTCCATCCCTCTGTGCGGGTCCCATAGGGAGCGCCTGATCCCTCCTCCCAGCTGTCACTGTCTTCTGCCGGCTGCAAGACATGGGGGAGATCCCGAACCTGGTGAAAATCGCAGTCTCCCTTAAAATCCAGCCCAATGACGGCGCGGTCTATTTTAAAGTGGACGGACAGAGGTTCGGCCAGAACCGGACGATTAAGTTACTAACGGGCGCTAAGTATAAAATCGAGGTCGTCCTCAAGCCCGGAGCGCTGAAAGCAACGTAAGTAGCGGAGGGCCATGCATGCCACTGTTACACCTGGTTACAATGCAGCGCAGACAACCAATCAAACAGCACCTCTTACTCTCTTGTCTCCAAGAAAGATCTGATTGCTGCAATCTGATTGGTTGCTGTAGCTAGCATCTTATCACACCTTGTATTGCATGATAGCATTGGGGTATCTGAAGGGTTAATGGACATAGCGGTGTTTTCCCCTGCCTTGCTGTTGCTGGTCTAGCCTCTCCTTCCTCTTGTACTCAGCTGTCATCAGCATAAAAATATAAGGCTGATAATACACAAACAGCACCTTCCTCCTAGCCAGGGTGCGGGGATTATTCATGCACTTAGTATATTTACACTGTATTCATGACATCCTTATCAGAAGGGTCTGGAAGGCCTATGGCGTGCTGATTTCTGCCCATCTTGCTTGGACAGGAGCCTCTGCAGGCATTGTCAAGGAGCAAATCAATTTTATAAGGGCGCTTCAATGTCTCATATGAAGGTTATGTCTGTTGGAGTATTTCTAATGCACACAATGTATCAGATATAGAGAAAATCATACTAGGGAGAAACAAAGAATATTTCAAGGGTCAGCTGACACCAGTGTGCGCAAACAGCATTTAGTGCGCACAGATGTTGCAGGATTTTCAGATTTGCAGCCGGAGAATGGGAGTGGATCCCATCATGGAGGATGGATACTATACAGTCACGGTCTGATCATGTGACCTGGGTGGGTAAAGCATAGGATGTTATATTCTATAGGTGTATAAGTGCTAGAAGATTATGCAGTGAAGTGTAATTCATGGAGATCCTTCTATTCAGGATTAATAGTCATTCATGATCTGTTTTTCAGCAGAAAGCAGCACATGGAATACGGGGTCACACTATTCACTTGTGGTATTGCATGAAAAAAACGTGCACAGTACAATGTGTTACTGTAACACAAGAAACACAGTATGGTGCCATACATTTTGGCACCCTGACCCACCTAGGCAGGACAACACAACGTGTCTTTTAGTGCACTGCAACACACAGTCTGGCATTCTAAAATATACTGCATGTCGGTTAAAATGCTGCATTTCGCTGTGTTTAGTATTCAGTACTTAGGGCTGCACTAAGGCAATGCACGTTGAAATGTAATACAACACATTAACACGCTGCAACGGTGTGAATGAACCCTAAGGGTAAAATGAGTTTGCACATTATTTATTGGCATGTTTTCACGTGCTAATTTTTAAAAATAAGACATCATTCATTAAAATGTTAGCACTCCCATGCCATCGTGCCTATATGCATCAAAATGAATGTGCAAAAGTGTTATGAATGAGTGTGTACCGAGTGCTCATACACCTTGCTTGTTTTTGGCTCATTTTACCCCTCCATTCCCTCTTTACCTTTTTTGTCGGATTATCCACAATCTGACGCTTTATTGCTTTATAACCAAGTCCTGTGCTGCCATCTTTTCTTCTGATATTATCGGGAGCCGCCTGTATCTTCCGGGTTTTTGCAGCCAGCCCCCTGATGACGCACAATTTGCATGGTAGATGACTTTTCTTCTGTTCACCTTCACGTCATAGGTGATTTCCCTTAATTGATTCTAATTAACTTTTGCTTGGCTGTGTCTCCTACAGACAGGGCCGGCCTTTGGGGCTTCATGTTGGATGGCCAGCGGTGAGGAGGAGAGAAGCCACAGCTTTCAGGACGGCCGAGTGGGAAGAGAGAGCAGCCGCTGTCATCCTATCAGTTTCATGATGACTGCGGCTGTGTGCGTGGCCGAGCGGAGGATCGGTAAATATCTGTGACATTTACCGGTTCTCTGTGTGCGCGGAACAAACACTGGAGTGATCGTCTGATCCCTCCAATGTTTGTAAATAACTTGGGACTCAATGGGGAGAAGCACTCACTACAGAGGCTCCTCCCCATTCAAAACTGCGTGATAGTAAATGTTTTACTATCAACAGTGTCTGGAAGAATGGGAAGCCTCTATACTGAGTGCTTCCCATTCATTGAGTGCTGAGGCTGCAGAAAAAATAAATTGAGGACTTTGTGTCCTCAATTTCTTTTTTTATTTTAAAAGGTAAATGTCAGGGGTCTGACCGCTAATATTTCCCCGAAGCCTCCCCAACAGTAAAAAAAACAAACATTAATTAAAAAAGTGAAAATGACCCCCCGTCCCCCACACACACGTATTATTAGACATGTGCAACGACTAAAAATTAATTTCAGATTAAATGAACGAAAACGAAAAATGTTTTCATTCGTTTCATCAAACAAAACACTTTTTTATGCTATTTTGGATTCAGCCATTGGGGTGTTCTGGAGGCAGGGCGCATGACGTCATATAACACCGCACGTGTTGCGCGCCGCCATCTTGGTGTATATCTAGGTATACACCAAGATGGCAGCGCCTATATCGTCATGTGACATCATGCTCCCCGCCTCCAAGATGGTGGCACGCATTCACAAAACGCACCGTTGGCCAACATGGCCGCCGCACATTCTCAAACAAATTATGTGCCTGAATAAATTTTTCGTATATTCGGACAAATAGTAATTCATTAATTTAACACGTAGTCTGGGTTTTGTGTTCTGTTTTTTATTTTTACTTTTTTTAGATGCACCTACTTGAAATAAGGTAAAGAAATAACGTCACCAGCACTCCAAAGGATGATTAAGCAACAGTCCATTTATTGGCACATAGCATTTGAATGGCAATGTGCCAATAAATGGACTATTGCTTAATCATCCTTTGGAGTGCTGGTGACGTTATCTCTTTACCTTAGTTGCTCACGGTGCCATCCGTGGTCACTAAAAAGCACCCACCCGCCCCAACGGGTTCTTTGATATATTTCGGTAAAGAGTGCAGCAAGATCTTTGATTCCTGTACTTGAAATAAGGGTCTGCATGACATCCTGACACATTATTTTTATAGACTCTATTTTAGTTTGACATTTATTGTTTGCCTTCTGTTGTTTTATTTAATAAGAATACTTATATTGTGCCGACAAGTTTAATACCTTTGAATAAAAGTTTTATTTCTATCATACTTTTTAATGTTTCTTTGGGGCTTAACAAAATGGGAGTCTTTAAATGGTGCGGATATTGGGGGAAAAGTAGTGCAAATAATGTTTATCCAAACAGACAATTACACTGAATTGCTCATTTGGGTGTTGTAGCAATTAAATTAAGTTTACTCTACACTACAGTATCAACTGTCATATATGGAATTCACTTGTAATGATGCATTAACTTCATACATAAAAAGTTTTGTATACAGATGTAGTGGGGGTTAGTGATAATCTTTGCTAGTTTTTAAAACATCCGGCTTTGCAAATATCTGTAGCTAGTGTGATAGTGCTGTGCCTGGTCACGGTGTGATAAGGGCTACAGGGCACCCCAGGTTCACACCCATACAGGTTAAGAGGCTCCAGGGTGTATGTAGCAGAGGAAGAAAAGTGGCTTTTCAGTTTTCTCCAGCATTGATAAATCCTGGTCAGAGTCCTGGAACCCAGAAGCTTTAGAGCAGGGGTAGCAAACCACAGGCCCTACAGCTGTCTTGAAACTACAAATCCCATGATGCATCTCTCTTCGGGAGTCATGTCTGTGGCTGTGAGAATCTTGCAATGCCTCATGGGATTTGTAGTTCCACCACAGCTGGAGGGCCGGAGGTTTGCTACCCCGGCTTTAGAGAGACTTGGGTGGGATGTAGCATTCAACCCTGGGGCCATGTTTTGAGATTGACCAGCACCCATTGATTGTGCAGCTGGGCACATCCTTCAAGGTATGGGAGCTGGTGAGTGTTCAGGGCTCCACCTGGGAGACAGAGGAGGTCTTTGCCTGGGAGACAGGAGGACTTAACCCAGAAGTTATGGTGGAGGCCAGTGCAGCAGGGAGCTGCGAGGTGTGCACCAAGCGTGCAGGTCAGCACGATGTTTGAAACTGTCTGGAGGAGAAATAAACAAAGGGGCATGAGGATTGAGGCCAGAGCAGTGGTGCTGCAAGAGAAAAGCCAGGAGGCTGAATGCTTGTTCTGGGAAGAACTATGTAAAACAACTCCTGCAAGGGCAGTTGTGTGATCTGTTTGAGGACATATGTTTATAGAAGTCAGCAAGGAAGTCCTAAAAAGCAGATTTAAGTGAGTGAAAGCATCCTTAATGCTTTAGTATTTGAAGCCAGTTCTAAAACTAGGTAATGTATAAAGAATTACTTTCTGTCTACATTACAGTTCAGGCAACATACTTATCACTTTCTAGCCATACACATGGCTCTACTACTTTCTAATACACTTCAGGTACAGCATGGTGGCATAGCATTTTCACGAGTACTTGTAAAATGCCCCGATACAAAAGGTCGATACTGGCCCTTTAAATTCTTAAATTGCTGGGGCGCTCAGGCAGACGGCTGGGGACCTCACGGCAGCTGTCTTTGATGGTCTGGCCCCACATCTCCTCCTCCTTCCCGGCGCCCACACAAACCAGTGTTCTATCAAAGTTTGTGACTAGGTTGGAATGTGTGACCGGTCACGTGGTCACACATTTTAACGTAATCCCACCCAGTCAGAATGTGTGACCGCACGCTAAGTTACGTTTTGCAATGCTTTGACAGCTGTTTCAGGGCAGGGAGAATGTGCAGGAGAATTGATCAGCATTACCCCTTCTGCCTGGAACGGCTGATCGGTCCTCAAATGTCACTCACAATGTCACTTCTATCCGACTTTGTGAGTGCTGTGACATTTGAGGACATTTGCTGTTCCAGGCAGATGGGATAATGCAGATCGGTTCTGCGATTCCGATCTGCCCTGGAACAGCTGACAAAGTGTTGGAATGTTTGACCTAATGGGCGGTCACACATTTCACCGCTGTAAAACTGGGAGGGATTACGTTAAAATGTGTGACCGGTCACATTCCAACATAGTCACACACTTTGATACTCGCCTGTGTCTTCCCTGTGCGCTCCCGTCCAAAAATGTGAACATTCTCGGGCGGCCGCAAAGCATCTTGGGG